CAAGGTCTTGCCTTTCAACATTCTCACCCATCCCTTGCCCACACACCCCTTTCTTCACTCTTCTTAATTTTGTAGGATATATATTGGATTCTTGACTTTTTTCTGTGAAGATATTCTTCTTAACTCTCCTCTTCATTTATCCTCCTCTTTCCCTTTAACCCCACCCCTTTCTAGTACTTGCTTCCTAGTGTTTTATTTTGCAGAACTTTGACTTTGCCTTTTCTTTCTTTTTCTATTTTTTTTCTTTCTTTCTTTCTTTCTTTCTTTCTTTCTTTCTTTCTTTCTTTCTTTCTTTCTTTCTTTCTTCCTTCCTTCCTTTCTTCCTTTCTTTCTTCCTTCCTTCCTTCCTTTCTTTCTTTCTTTTTTTCTTTTTCTTTTTTTGCAAGTCCTTGAACTCAGAGCCTGGACACTGTCCCTGAGTTTCTTTTGCTCAAGGCTAGCACTCTACCCTTTAAGCCACAGCACCACTTCCAGCTTTTTCTGTGTATGTGATACTGAGGAATCAAACCCAGGACTTCATGCATGCTAAGCAAGCACTCTACCACTAAGCCACATTCCCAGCCCTGACTTTGCCTTTCTAAGGAATTACAGTATTTGAGTTCTTCCTTGAATCTACTACATTTATATATTCAGTGCATTCACTACTGTAGTGCATTTATATGTGCTTAGATTCCACCCAATGCATTTATTTTTTTAAGTTTGTTCATCCTTTTGATCTCAAGTTGGCCATCTTTTTATCCTGGGAGCCCTCTTTCCCTCCACAATCTATCTTCCTATATGATTTCACAGCCTCTCTCACTTTTCTTATGACAATATGTGTCAATCTAACTTGCAATTATTTCTTGATTATTCTCAGCACAGGTCTGGTGTTCAGTGAACATCTAATACTGGATAGTATATTCTGACTAAGAGTATACCTAGAAAATTGAATGGAAATGAATTTTAAATTCTTCATAATGATCTCATTTGCATCTTACAAATGACAAATGCTAATTGAAACATTACATCTATAGTCATTTACCTGATCCTGGTTGTCTGAAAATGAATAATGGACTATCAAGTTTTTATTTAAATTATTTAGCCAGTTATGGTGATACATGCCTGCAATCCCAGTTACTCACAAGGCTGGGGGGGATGAATTGCTTGAGTCCAAGAGTCCAAGATCAGCATAAACAACATACCAAAATAAGTCCATCTTAGAAAACAAAAACGGGGAAGCAGACAAATGGCAAGAGGAAGAGTAGCCAAATACAGTTATAATATTCAATATGCATATATAAAAATGGAACCAGGTAACTTGGGGGAGGGGTGGGGTTGGGAGAGATGGAGGGAAATAATAGAAGGGGTGACATTGATCCAGATGCATTGTATTCATAAATTGAGAGGATGGCTTGAAACCACTTTGTACAACTACTTAAAGATAATAAAAATTTTGCTGGGTGCTAGTGACTCACGCCTGTAATCCTAGCTCCTCAGGAGGCTGAGATCTGAAGATTGCGGTTCAAAGCCAGCCCGGGCAAGAAAGTTCATGAAACTCTTATCTCCAGTAAACTACCAGAAATCCGGAAGTGGCGTTGTGCCTCAAGTGGTAGAGCACTAGCCTTGAGCTGAGGAGCTGAGGGACAGCACCCAGGCCCGAGTTCAAGCCTCACAACTGACATAATAATAATAATAATAATTTTTATTTAAAAAATTAACACAAAAAATAAAATATAGGGCTGGGAAGGTGGCTCCGTGGTAGAGCGCTTGCCTTGCATGCCTGAGGCCCTGGGTTCGATTCCTCAACACCACATAAGCAAAAAGAAAAAAGCCAGAAGTGGCGCTGTGGTTCAAGTGGTAGAGTGCTAGCCTTGAGCTGAAGAGCTGAGGGACAGCGCCCAGGCCCAAAGTTCAGGCCCACGACCGGACCAAAAAAAATAAAAAAATAAAAATAAATAAATAAATAAAATATAAAGGGAAGATTTTAATACCCATATTGTAACTATAATTAATATACAAATATAAATTTAATTTAATATAATTTAAATTAATGTTTTTTGGGGGGTTCTGGGGCCTGAACTCTGGGCCTGGGCACTGTCCCACAGCTCTTCAGCTCAAGGCTAGCGCTCTACCACTTAAGACACAGCACCATTTCTGGTTTTCTCTGCTTATGTGTTTCTGAGGAATCGAACTCGGGCCCTCATACACGCGAGGCAAGCACTCTACCACTGAGCCATCTTCGCAGCCCCTAAAGTAATGTTTTTTAAAATTCTGATGCCAACTCTAAAAAGCAGGGGGTGGGGCTAAGTCTAATTGTAGGCAATCTTCATCTTATGAATTTCCTACTCTTTGTACCTTGATGTGGTAGCACAGAGGAAATGCTTGGGAGGCAAGAAGTGCAAGTCTTAATTCCTGCTAACCTGAGTCGACAATGTTCTTCAGCCCTTCCCAAGCTGTGTAGCCACTCTAGGAGACCTGAGCTCTCCTCATTTAGGAATAGAAAAGGCATGGACGAGAGTGAAATGAGGTCATAACAGAGCTCCTATTGATGTGCTCCTCCTTTACCTCCCTCATGAGGTCATAACAGAGCTCCTATTGATGTGCTCCTCCTTTACCTCCCTTCCTCTCTTTCTCCCTGGAAACCACTGCAATGCCCTTGCTTCCATCATGGCTCTGCCCAAAGCACACTTGCTTGCATAAAGACTCATCTATAATAGGGTATTCTTGTGATCCTAAATTTCACTACCTTTTATTCTGTATCAGCTTCCATGCCCGCTCCATTTTCTTCCATTTTCCTGCTGCTTCTCTCCAAATATGGTCTCACCAGCACATTTCCCAAGTACCCTGGTGTCCTGTCTGCAGGAAGATTATTAATGAAGATGTTAAGTCAGGCTGGCATAAATAACAATGCTTTAGGCCATCCTCCTGACATTTTTGTTCCACTCAACAGGGATCTAGTGTCATTTATCATCAGGTCTTGTTACAGTTTTCTGGTCCCTTGAAAAACTCACATGAGAGCATTCACTTGTTCACATCTACTTGAATTAATCTTGCAAGCAAACTCATAAGTAACTGAACTGAATGTCACTGCAGGATTGAGCATCTGTTACATCACACTAACCTATCACTGTCTGCACTCATAAATCTTTACAATCAAAACAAATTAGTCTAGCATGTTATTTCTAACAAACTTTCTCTTGTGTTGTGTGTGGCTCATGCCCAAAAGTAGATAATAGACCAGTGGATGAAAGTAATAACATCTCATCACTGATTCAAACATGGCAAGTTGTGAATAAAGAATAATGATTCTTTGGCAATGAGAGAGATAAAGAGCTAAGTAATAGCCATACAGGGAGGGGTGTGAGGCACAGACTCAGAAAATTCATTATAATGAAGTCCTGCAGAGCAATCTTTGTCTGGTTTTATTCTTCTAATTCATGTTTAACTTACCATCTATTTGTGGTAAAACATGTACATGGCACACTCTGAGAAAATTCACCAATAGCTACAGTTTTTCTGAGATGGTGTTTTCCTGTATGAAGCCAGATGTGTTGTTCATGAAGGTTCTCTTTTCATTTGCTAAAAAAGGTAAAGGTTATATGAATGATCTGAATACAGTAGAAGCATTAAGAAAGGGGTAATTTATGCCACTACTGGTTCCATTGAGTGTTCATGTGTGTGTGTGTGTGTGTGTGTGTGTGTGTGTGTGTGTGTGTGTTTGCGTGTGTGTTGCTACTAGGGCTCTACCACTTGAGCCCCAACTCTACTCCTGACATTCTCTTTGTTAATTGCACTAGCTTCCAACTCTCATCTCCTAAGTAGCTAGGATTCCAGGTGTGATCACCTGTGCCTGCCTATGTCCATATTATTTTACAGGCTCACCCCTGTAATCCTAGCTACTCATCTGAGGATTCCTCCACACACACACCAGCTAGAAACATTCTTCTGCTTTTTGTCTCTGATTGTGACTACTCTAGATACTTCATTTAAATCAAATTATACAGTTCGTCCTCACTTATAAAGAATGTTACCTTTTCATATTTTTGGTAAATTTATAACTGCTCTTATAACAATATGACAAACAATTAAGAAAACAGGTAAGAAGAAGGATGTCTGGAATGGAGAGTTCTATTCTCTCTCTCTCTCTCTGACTCTCCCTCTCTTTCTGTGTGTGTGTGTGTGTGTGTGTGTGTGTGTGTATCAAATATATCAAGTCAGCAGTAAGTTCATAATATTTGCTCATCTGAAATAAGACACAATGAGTTGTCAGAGAGACTCACTATTTAAAGGGCTAGTTAAATGTCCAGATAGGAAGCATATTTATAATAACAGCAACATCAAAGGGGAGACTGAACATAGCAGAGGTTCCCACATGGCATCAAATACCAACATAATCAAATAAGGAAAGCCACTATAGAGTCCAACATATAGACCTAATGGATTCAACGCCAAGATTTTGCCCCCATGATGGTGCTTCTCAAACTTTAGTGGACATTGAATTCACCTCCACAAGCTTAGGAATCTGAACTGTCACGAGCTGCCCCGGGAGGTTGTAATCAAAGTTGAAAGTCAAGGTTCCGTGCAGGTGATTAGATCCAGCTATGGTAATGCTGGCCTCCGCTCAGTTTAGTCAGATAATCTTGGTTGATGTCATGACCACAGTCATGATCCCAGTACTACCTGGCTTCAAGTGTTTCCCATAAAACTCTTAAAACTCTTCTACCTTTAGTGTTGTCTGACCAGGCTATGGAATGCTTCCCACAAAGGCACTGGAAATACAGACCCTCACTTAACAGAGCAGTGGAGCCTCTGCCAAGGCTCTCGCACGCTGCCTGCCTGGTCATAACTCTGAGAACAGGCCTGGAATGGCTTTCAGTTTGGATTTCCTTTCAGGTCTGTCTCTGTATCACCAGCTACAAACTGGCTGAAGAGGAGATGCTGGCCACCTTGGCACTGTGTTGCCTTTCAAGATTACTATCTGCTCCTCCCTCCATGAGTGCGTTTCTTTTCTTCCTTTGCAGAATATGTCTGTGCTGGAGAATCATCACTGGCGATCTACTATCGGCATGCTTCGAGAATCAAGGCTTCTGGCTCACCTGCCAAAGGAAATGACGTAAGTGTGGCTGAGATAAAACAAACTGATGGGCACTCAGTAAAGATAAGTGGTATCCAAGACCCCCTGCGTGAGTGGCAGGGGACCAGGCCTGGCCCTGCGCTGCCTGCATGCGTTTGGTTGTCTAGCAGGAGACTCTGTGTCATGTAGCAATCCAGAAACCAGACACTGTGTGTACTTAGACAGTGAATGACCTAAAGTCAGGAAAACGAATACTAAACAACTCTTGGAGTCCACTGTCTTCAACATCAGCACTCTGCTTTGCCAAATTCCTGTCCTTTATGTTAGCAAAACTGTCCCCCTGTTTAGATCCAAAGAATAAATATTTGTCAAGAAAGAACACAGGAATTCTCAAGCTAGGTTCAAGACCAGTTCAATAAAGTGTGTTTTGTAATTGCCACTCATAGCAAAAGTAGCAGTCAAAAGTTCTTTTTGGTTTGTTGGTTTGTTGCAGTACTAAGGCTTGAACTTAGAGCCTTGAGCTGAATAGATAGACACACTACCACTTGAGGCACACCTTCAATCTCAGAAGTTCTTTCCTACAATGCCTTTTGTGATCTGATTGCATTGTCGTAGTAATCTTTTCACCTTTACCTTGCCTAATATTGCTTACATTTTTAAATAGGAGAAAATACATGACTTTTCCTGGTCTACTGTCTTATCAATCAGCTGGGTGCGTAGATCAAACTGTACTAACTTCAAGGCTATTTCCTATACTGTCCCCCAAGGCTACCTCTGCTTCCCATCTGCTTAATGAAAGTGTACAGAAGCCATGGGAGCCAGGTGAGGGGCAAAAACAGATTACTGCACCCTTCCTAAGGACAAGCACTGAACTTGAAGTCAAGGACCAAGTGAGTTTTCTCCATAGACCAGGCAGCAGGCTTTGGGGTGGTGGCTTTGTTCCTGGTCCTCTCTACCATCTCCTGCTGTTTCCTAACACCCAGCGATATATGGAATTTGCGGTTTTCCTAACTTTTTACCCTCACAACATGGTGTAAAAATGTGTGCCCTTTACCAGAATAATGAACTGCAAAGACAGAAAGAATGAAATGCGTAAAGAACAAAGGCTGAGCAAAAAATCAAGTAAAGAGAGGTAGGGGAAGGGTGGAGGTGAGCGGGATTACATATAAAGAAAAATGAAAAGGAGGAAAGGGAGAAGACAAAGAATAAAAGGGGAGAAAAAGAGGCAAGAATCTAAGTTTAACCAGACTTGGTGATTGCCTAGGTGAACACCCACATTAATCCTGCTTGTTAATCACTTCATATTTACTTTCAGATACTCTCCCTCATCTATATGGATTTTGAATAAAATACCATTTATATCACTGTCTTCCTGAGACACTGTGTTATAAATTGCTTTTGCTAGAAGAATAATTATTCAACAACAATTGTGAAAGGACTTTATAACAAAGGTTATCATCATGATCATCATTATTAATTCTTCTATCCTCATGCACACATGCTCTTAAATCATTTTATGATTTTAAAAAAACAAGAGAGGTTAACTATAGAAACAAAAGAAAATGAAACAGAATTTGTTTGAATTCTATAAAGTTACTGTTTTGCAGTGCCAAAAACAGCATAACATTAGCAGTTTCAGATGGTTCAATCTGATTCAAAGAGGAAAGGTGGAATCCTGACAAATAGAATAGCTCATGTTCACCTGGTTGGCTAATTCCTTTTAGCCATTTTCAATATAACCATGTTTTAGCAAAACGAGGGAATTTAAAAGTCTGTGGCAGCCAGGTGCTGATACCTCACGCCTGTAAAACTCCAGAGGCTGAGATCTGAGGATCACAGTTCGAAGCCAGCCTGCCTGGGCAAGAATGTCTGTGAGACTCATCTCCAGTTAATCACCAGAAAATGGGAAGTAGAGCTATGGCTCAATGTAGTAGGGTGCTATCCTTGAACAAAAAAGCTCAGGGACAACACCCAGGCCCTGAGTTCAAGCCCTTCAACTGACAAAAAAAAAAAAAAAAAAGTTTGTATTCTGATGTTATTCACTACTATAAAGGTTTTTCCACACCATTAAATCGGTTACTTAGGTTAAAAGTATTTTATTGGCCGGGCACCCAGTGGCTCATGCCTATAATCCTAGCTACTCAGGAGGCTGAGATCTGAGAATTGCACAGTTCAAAGCCAGCTCAATCCTATGAGACTCTTATCTCCAATTAACCACCAGAAAACCAGAAGTGGTGCTATGGCTTAAGTGGTAGAGCACTCGCCTTGAGCTGAAGAGCTCAGGGACAGTGCCAAGGCCTAGAGTTCAAGCCTCATGACCAAAAAAAAAAAATTATTTTATTATGCATAAATTGGAGTTTATTGTTTGAAACTAGGTGGTTAATAAATTTTCTCATTACAATAACATTCCACGAATGGTTTTAAGCATATATCTCTACCCCAAACTATATTTTCTAAAACCAAATCTGTAAATAGAAATTATTGCTCAGATTATTTTCAAGTTGTTTTTTTTCAAAAAGCACTGTATCTAATATTTCCATTAAAGAGTTATAAGAAAATACACCCATGACATATCACCAACTTTGAGCTTACCCTTTTTCATATTTTTAGATATTTACAATTTTCAAACATACACACACATCTTATACAGAAAGAATTTTAATTCAATTACTATGCATTTTTAGGTAGTCACATTGAAAATTTTCATATAGTTAGTGGCCACTGTTATTTAAAGAATAAATTTTTGTGTTTGCTCATTTTTCTGTCTTCAAATCAGTATTATGCATTTTTAAGATCTTTTTTGTATATTATGTAGAGTAACCTTTTTTCTTTTTCTTTTTCAGTAGTGGGTTTAAACACAGAGCTTCGTGCTTATTCTGCTTGCTTGTTTATTTAGCTGGTACTCTATCACCTGAGCCATGCCTGCAGCCATACCTTTTACTGATTTTTTTGGAGACAGAGTCTCAGAGACATTGCTACCCAGACATACTTTGAACTGTCCTCTTCTGGATCTCAGCCTCTTGAGTAGCTACAATTAGAGGCAAGAGCCACTAGTGCCTAGCTTAGTAACTATTTGTTATATATTGAAATATTACTTTTTTAATTTGTCTCAAGTAGATTCATGAAACATTTCACCTAACTAAAATAATTATATTTTCTGACCATGATGTATGTATTTATATACATATATATTCATATTTTAGAAAAATTTATACATTATTGAGAAATATAATAAACAAAATAAACTATAATCCCACTATGTCTTTCCAGTTTCTTTTCTGTGACCAGTGGGATCACAGTGAGCATGTGTTGTGTCAGTTAATATAACAATAAATCATGACATTTAGATCAATAAATATGTACTTCGTCATGTTTAATAGCTTCACAGTTTTAATGTAGCGGTTATTGAGCACCTATTTGTGAATTTTTGTGACTTTTTCCTTCCTAAAATGACCCACTATTATAAACACTACGATGTGTTTGTACAACAAATATTCTTACTAATTATATCCTTACTAACATTAACTGTGATGAACTGATGGTTATATTATTTTTGCCATCAAATGCTTTTAATCTTAATTCCTAAAGTACCTCCCTGAAAGCATTGCACTAACATATCTACTAAATTGGAGTAGATGAACCTTGGTATCTATTTATTTTGTTCCTGGACATATACCTCAGAGCAAACTCTGCTCATACATAACTGGGGGCATGTAAAGATATTTATGAGGCATTTTGCATAGTAGTCAAAAACTAGAACCAAATCAAGTGACCATCAAAAGTAGACATTGTAGCCGGGCACCAGTGGCTCATGCCTGTAATCCTAGCTACTCAGGAGGCTGAAATATGAGGATCGCGATCAAAAGCCAGCCCAGGCAGGAAAGTCCGAGAGACTCTTATCTCCAATAAACCACTAGAGAACCGGAAGTGGCGCTGTGGCTCAAGTGATAGAGTGCTCACCTTGAGCTGAAGAGCACAGGGACAGCGCCCAGGCCCAGAGTTCAAGCCCCATGACCGACCAAAAAAAAAAAAGTAGACATCGTAGAATATTGTCATAGTATAATACAATATAATAGTGAATGAACTGTAGCCTACTCATCTACATGAAAGAATTTTAAAACGTATTTTTAAGCTAGAGAAACAGTTTGACCCATTGTAACAATGAGATGTACAAGACACTATGTTGAAAACGAACTTTACAGCTTCAGAGGGGAGGGGAGGAGAGAGGAGTTGGGAAAGTGGGGAGGGCAGGGATGGTAGGGGGAAAACAAAGGAGGAGGTAACAATGCTCGATAGGAAATGTACTCATTACCTTACTCATGTAACTGTAACCCCTCTGTACAGTATTTTTACAATAAAAAATATATACAAAAAACAAATGCTACAAATAGATTTTTCTTAGTATGATACTAAAAAAAAAGAAACAAGACATGGTTTAATACATGTCATATAGCTTAAAGCTCAAAACTATATTGCTTAAGTATGTATTCACAGGTAGTAAAAAGAAAAATTGAGTGTATGCCAGTTCTGGGGCTTGAACTCAGGGCCTGGCATTATCTCTTAGTATTTTTGCTCAAGGATGACACTCCACCATTTCAGCCACAACTCCACGTCTAGCTTTTTGGTGGTTAATTTAGAGACAGTAGTCTCATGAACTTTTCTGAACTTTGGACCATGATTCTCAGGTCTTAACCAGCTGAATAGATAGGAATAGTGGTGTAAGCTACCAGTCCCTGGCTAGCAAAATGTTTGTAAGTAGCAAGAGGATAGTCTGTTCAAACTGCGGGGAGAAGGATATAATGGGGGAAGTAATAGGGAGTATTCTGGGGAACTAGCAGGAAATGCTTGTAACCCAGAGAGTGATTATAGGATGCTTATGTTATATTTATTCTCTAAACTATATATGTATGTTCTATGTATTCTACTTACATATATGTCATTTTTAACGGTGAATTTTAAACATACTTATAAACCCTTTCTTCTATTACTTCGTTTATACATATGAATAAAGTCCTAACATGCTATTCTTGTAAAATCTGGCATTTCCCTTGTACTTTGTATTGACTAATATATCTCTTGCCCACTAGTTGATAATGGTGTCTGATTACCCTTTTTTCCTCCTTTTGGTCCCATTATCTTTTTCTGGACTATGTATTTTGTGCTATTACTGGACCTTCCCACTCCATAGTGAGTCATTGTTACTCTCATCATTATGATGACTATTACTTTCCTCTCTCCATGAAAAGAATTCTTGAACGAGCTCTCACAAGGCAAACCCAAATTCCTGTGATTCTGCATGACATTTTGTGTCCTGTACACATTCCTATTTGACGTTGAATTTCCCCCCATAGCAACCGTGCGGATGTGTAAATTTCCACCGCCTCGTTCATCTAAGGCTTCAATAACTCCATACATGTCTACGATACCTCCTGTCCAAGAGCGGGAGACTGACTCTTGGGCTGTAAGGGACTAAAACCCTGTGTAATAAACAGAAACAAAGGCATAAATGAGATGACAAGCCACCTGTGATGAGAGAATCAATCATCCTCCTCAAAGGGATTGGCTTTGTATGTTTTTCTCTTTCATTCTTGTGGCTGCAGACAGAATATTGAACAGCAGCTGGGCTCCCTGATTTTGGCCACAGACATCAACAGGCAGAATGAATTTCTGACCCGATTGCAAGCTCACCTCCACAATAAAGACTTGAGACTGGAAGATGCACACGACAGACACTTTATGCTTCAGGTAAACAACAGCAACAACAACAAAAAGCCATTTGCTTTACTGAGTTAAAACACTTGGGGCATGATTGATGATTTTAGCACGTTTGAGAAGGAGTTGTCTGTCTATGGCAGAAGTCTGAGTAGTGACTTATTTTATTAAAAGCTTTGCCACATGGTAAAATTGTTAAATGGTTTTCAGGCAAGCAAAAAATCTAGGTTTTTCATCCATTTATCTCATTTTTCCTTGATCAGTGACTACCTGACCACAAAGCAATCCCTATTGGAAGGTTGCTTGCTTACAACAAGAGTCTATCAGTATTTATTGGGGACGAGGGAAAGATGGATGGTGCTAGAGATCAAACCCAGGAAGGCCTGGCATTCTTAAGCAAGTACTGTACCACTGAGCTATACTCCTAGGCCAAGTGTTTACAATGCTTTGTGATTTACTGAACAGTATGATTCCTATGCAGTTTTTCAAAAACTTTTTGTTTTTCTTTTCCAGTCCTGGGACGTGAACTCTAGGCCTGGGCACTAATCCTGGGCTCCTTTTGCCCAAGGCTAGCACTCTGCCACTTGTGCCTCAGTACCACTTCAGGCTTTCTCGGTGATTAATTGGAGATAAGAGTCTCTCAGACTTTCCTTCCCTCGGGTAGCTTGGAACTGCAGTCTTCAGCTCTCAGCCTCCTGAGTAGCTAGGATTTCAGGCGTGAGCTGCTGGCACCTGGCTCAAAAACTATTTCTGTTTTTTGTTTGTTTGTTTTTTGGGTCCAGTCGTGGGCCTGAACTCTGGGCCTGGGTGCTGTCCCTCAGCTCTTCAGCTCAAGGCTAGCACTCTACCACTTGAGCCACAGCGCCACTTCTGGCTTTTTTTCCTTTTTGCTAATGTGGTACTGAGGAATCGAACCCAGGGCCTCATGCATGCAAGGCAAGCACTCTACCACTGAGCCACCTTCACAGCCCAAAACTATTTCTGTTACTCATAAATATATTGTGTTAGAGTACCACCAAAATTGAAAACATGTAGCTTTCCTTTTCCTAAAATTTACTTAAGTAGATTTTGTTTGCTTCTTTTTATTACTTAAATTCCTATTTTCATCTGAGCCCAACTGCTTTAAACACCAATAGATATGTTCACTTAAGTTTAATTGAACTGAATCAGATTGAATTGGATCAAGCCCAACAATTTCTATTTTCCTCTGGCAAGAACCTATTTGTGTCAGGAGAAAAACAGGCAGTGTAGGCTTCAAATAAAATTCTGATCTGGAATCTAAGCCCGTATTTTTTTAAGCCAATGACACTAGAGATCTAGGCCTTGCATTTACTGGCCACTTAAGCAACATCCCCAGTTCTTTTGTTTTTAAATCTTATTTCTGAGTTAAGGTCTTATTAATTTTACCAAGCTGGTCTAGAACCCATGATTCTCCCACCTCTGCCTCCTGAACAGCTGAGATTAAAAGGCCTACACCACTGAATGCAGTTCCAACCCATCGTAATCTTCCTTTTCCTTTGTCTTCCTTCTTCCCTGTTGGCACAAAAGACTACAAGCCGAGGCCCTGGACTCATCTAGACAGGCCAGCTTTAATGAGGAACTGGAGGCTGATTCATACAAGTCTTCACAGTTTCCCTTGTGGCTGTCCAAAGTGTTCCATCTTTGCCAGGAAACACCCTATTCCCAGCTCTACTTTCTTCCCAACCTCGTCTTCTAGTCCTTGAATGCTCAAAGATTAACCTAACATTTGGCTTGAGAGACTTAAGCCAAGGTATAACTACAAGATTCAACCTGAAAACCTGCATCCTAACATGTACTTATAGCCCTACTAGCTAGGAAACAAATGACAAAATTTGCAGCTTAGCATGATCCACCATTGTCTGAGGCCACAACACATGCCACTATTCTATGATCCCCAAAACTGATATTGCAGATTTCTTGGCAGGTGGTGGTTAAACAGGAAAATTAAGTTATCTGGGAACTCAGGGTAATACCTCCAGGATCATCACGCTAGCAAAAATCAGTATGTGATCCAGACGTGTATAAAGTAAGTCAAGACCACTCGGAGTTAGCTATGCAAACTAAGTTTGTGCACCTAAGTTTGAGGTGCATTGGCATCTTGACTGGCAGTCTGAGTTCATTTCTTTCAGTCATAGGAACATCAATGTAAACACACGTAATATAAATAATGTATAGAGTTGGTGTACATAGAATCAATTCCTGATGATCCTCCTTGATCCTGGCCAGGTCCCTGCAATCTTGCTCTGCCTGAGAAAGGTGAAGCAAAAGGATCCAGTCTCCTCCAGGAAGTTTGTTCTTGTATTATGGCTCTTCTCTCCTTCTGGCTGCTACAAAGCAGGGGTTTTGGATGAAGGGTTCACAAAACCTATGAATAAGGGCTGTTTCCTGGAGGGACACTTTGGGAAGGCCCTCAGTAAATATGGGCCTGGTACCTTACCGGCCAGGCAGCCCTTTGGCTTAGGGGACATTTTCGGCCTTCTGAAGGGTCATCTACTGACAAATTCTCCTTGCCCTGTTCTCTCTCAGATCGCATTGAAGTGTGCAGACATTTGCAATCCTTGTCGAATCTGGGAGATGAGCAAACAGTGGAGTGAAAGAGTCTGCGAAGAGTTCTACCGGCAAGGTTAGTGGTGACCCCTCAGCTGAGATTCTTCCGGAGAGTTATCCCAGTAAAACAGGAAACAGCTTATGAGGGTGATGTTTGCTCTCCCATCAACGCTTATTATCCTAACCTTTCTCTTTAACTGTCTTGCAAATCATCCATCTTCACTGTGCGAAAGAAAAGAAAGAATTTTAATAAATAACATTGGCATATCAAAGAAACAAGTAATAAGAATGCACAGTGAAAATTAGCAACGTGCAAAAACAGGAGATAGACAAGCAGTTGTTTGTATATGTGCCTCTCAGGATACATATGCAGATATAATAATGTGATGGACAGTTTGATCTCTACCCTGACTTTCTCTTCAATGAGCCTAAAAGCCAAGTACCATTAGGGGTCAATCTCTTCCTGACCAAAGGACTCAGATCCTTTTGTCTGCCTTCCCCTTGGTTTCTTCAGCAAAGCTCCCAGTGAAACTGAACACAGTTCTGCAAATATTCCATTCCACCTTTCCATGACAGTTTCAGCAGTGAGGTAGGTGAATTTTCTGTGAAAAGACAAATGGTCTTGAGGGAGGGTGTAATTTTTACAAAGATTACCCTCCTTCATCAGGAAGGCAATGCATTAGAAGCAGGATCCTGACGTTGGGTGGGATATGGGCCTTTAAAACATAGTCTTGTTTCTTCAGGCTCCGTTTCAATGTTCAGGATGTTTGTTCAGGCAGCAATGGTCCCCTCATGCTAGTGACAGCATCGTGTTTGAAAGACCGAGAGCAAATAAAGTTTGAAGTGTCCCACATACCAGCTCTGTAGGGAGGGCAGACAGCCACAGTGAGCCTTTTGAAGAAGTCTCCACTGAAAGATGTGTCAGTGACATCGGGATGGCCCCCAAGACAGAAGACAAAGAGGAACTGAGTTCATGTGGGGCCAGAAGGCTCTGCTTGCCATCGCGCTTTCTCTCTCACTCACAATCCAAGTGCTCACGTAGCTCCTGAAACGCTGGGTAATTTCATTTGAATTGAATGTGAGTGCTTAGAAATCAAAAGCTCAGTTCTAGTTGCCTATGCAGAACAAAAGGAAGTATGCTGAAATTGGAGCAAAGAGGCCTTAGATTAGGTGTGATCATCTTTCTTTCCTGTAAGAAATACAAACTAGTGAGACAGCAGTAAGAGGAGCAAGAAGCTACATCAAACAATGGAATAGAGACAAGGTCCTCCTCTCTAGGATCTTTGACTCAGTTCTGGATTATTGTTGGTGTCAGTTGCCATTGAACCTCCTCTTCTTTGCTCATCTAGATTCTGGGCAACTTGGAGAAGAAGCCATGTCACTTGGGTAGATAGTAAGGTGGTAGAGTTAATTATTTAAAGTTGTTAACTAAGTGGGGCAGATGGTATCAATGAAGACAAGTAACCTCTTGCACAAAGAGGCCCTTGATAAGATAGAACCCTAATAAGATACACACGTGGAGCTCTGTGAGCTGGAAATCATTTAGAATTGCTGTAGCTCTGATCACTGAAGGTGAGTTTTCACCCCCTTTGTTCTGGCATGCCTTTTGTGTGCGGGCGTGCGTGTGTGTGTGTGTGTGTGTGTGTGTGTGTGTGTGTGTGTATGTGTGTATGTGTGTGTGTGTGTGTGTGTGTGTGTGTGTGTGTGTGTCATAAGGCTTGAAGTCTGGGTCTGGGGCTGTCCCTCAGCTCTTCTGTTCAAGGCTAACGCTCTACCACTTGAGCTACAGTGCCACTTCCCATTTTCTGGTGGAGATAAGACTCTCATTGGCTTTCTTGCCTGGGCTGACTTTGAACCGCAATCCTCAGATCTCAGCCTCCTGAGTAGCTAAAATTACAGGCGTGAGCCACTGGCTTTTTCTTCTAACAAAGACTCTGGCACGTCTTCTAACAAAGGAACAGAGAGGGCAACTGATCCTTTCTATTTACGGTCCTTATGGCCCAGGGGAAGTTAAACCTGTTTTGAGATGAGATCACTGCATTCTCTGGTCATCCAAACTATCCTTTATTCTTAGTAATTTTTAAAAATTCTTTAAGGAGGGCTGGGAAGGTGGCTCAGTGGTAGAGTGCGCTTACCTTGCATGCCTGAGGCCCTGGGTTCGATTCCCAGCACCACATAAGCAAAAAGAAAAAACTCAGAAGTGGCGCTGTGGCTCAAGTGGTAGAGCGCTAGCCTTGAGCTGAAGAGCTGAGGGACAGCACCCAGGCCCAGAGTTCAGGCCCCACGACCGGACCCAAAAAAAAAAAATTCTTTAAGGATAACTTGTATCATTTTGATAGATAGGGCTTTCTGTTTAGATTTTGGACTCAGACTCCAACTCATCCAAGTCCTGGACAAGTATCATAAGAATGATTTATAAGGGCTGGGAAGGTGGCTTAGTGGTAAAGTGCTTGCCTTGCATGCATGAGGCCCTGGATTCAATTCCTCAGCACCACAAAAGCAGAAAAAACCAGAAGTGGTGCCATGGCTCAAATGGTAGAGTACTAACCTTGAGCTGAAGAGCTGAGGGACAGCGCCCAGGCCCAGAGTTCAGGCCCACAACTGACAAAAAAAAAGTATGATTTATAATGCTGAGAAAAGGAAAAACCCTTAAAATCAAGGTTGAAGGAAACGATATCCTATCATTTGGAAAAGTGTTCCATTCTCAGAGACTAGGATTTTAAATACCATGTACCTGCCTCCCCACCCGTCAACACTTTAAGAAAGTAGACTTTCTGTCCTGTGGTGACAATAGATTCATATCTATCCCATCAACCTAGTTTCCCAAAAGCTTTAGTGGACCATCTGTTTCCAGCCTTGTTTAATCCTCAACTAATTTTTCTATGAGCAAAGCCACCCAGGGGATGTTACAATTCATGCTAAGAATCCTAACATAGCTAGTTTATCTTTTGTTCCCTCAAAATACTAACAAGCAAAATTCCTAGAGAAGAAACATTTTTGTTTCTTTCTGTTCATAGTCTTTACATTGAGTAGAAAAGTACCTAAAGTATGCAGTGCTATATAACTGCCTATTGAGTAAGTGATCTAACTGGAAGAGCTCCTATTAGAGAGATGACAGAAAAGGTTTAGAGCTGGAGGGTTAGTGCTGGAGATGATGGGATTTGAACTGGGTACTGAAGGATATATGTTGCTCTACGCTTCCTATGATAGGCAAAACAAACAAGTGGCTGGTCAAATTCAAATTAATTAAAATGTCATGAAATTAACTCTTCAGTCCCTCAGTTGTATTGATCATTTTTCAAGGGGCTACCCAAGTGAGCCGTGCAGAGAGTTATTTCCATCATTGCACAGCGTCCCACTAGATGGTGCTGGTCCAGTGAGGGCAGCGGAGATGAAACAAAGGCAGTGTGATGGGGGTGTGTCCCACTCTGTAGTCCGGCTCAGGTTGTAGAGGTTGAGGATGAAAGAATCTTAGAGGCTTCTGTACACCAAGCCAAAGTAGAGCACACATCCACGGGAGTCATCTTAGAACGTGCGTTTGACAAAATATATGTGTTAGGTTTTTAAAAAGAGAACCACACCACGCACATGGTATTCAGGTCAGGGGTAGGTTTATTCATCATTCTGGCTGGCACTAGGCCATGTTAGCACTCCACACAGCTAGGAAAGGCCTGGGAAAGAGAGCATCTGGCCCTCGGAAGGGAAGGGGTGTGGCCACATCAAATCAGATGTGACCTCAGCGGATGCAGATGTGACCTCTTCCAGGTGTGCCAGTTGCCTAAGTAATGCAGGTATTGGGCAGAGACTTTGCTGCATGGAGGGTAGAGTCTGCGCGCCATGCAGGAGCAGACCTTATATTATGTATGTAGTTGAAGTAGAAGAAATGCTGGAGGAACTAAGAAACAAAAACTAAAAATGACTTATTATAAAACCAGACTAAGATCAAAGAGTGTGAAAGCGGAAAAACAAGATATTCTAAGACAGGAAGAAGGGACTTGAGTGCCCTGAGATGAGGGGTGAAGGAAAGGTAGAAATCAAAGATGACTCCTCCAGAACGTCACACTTGCCTGAAAAATCACTATTCATAAACAAAGGCGGGTGAGGAGTGAAGCTGGCTTTCAGCTAACTTAATACTTAATGATACTTGCCCTGGCTTCTGATTTTGTAGCTTCAGATGGTTACTACAAATGAAGATCTCCCTATTTTACCTCCATTTCCTCCTGAATTAGTGTTCTTAAAGGTGGAGAAGTAGAGGGGAAGGAGGATAAAAATCTGTCACCTAACCTGTACTTCTGTTTCATGTTAGACAATTGCCCCTGAGTTGTTTTCCTGTTTGTATAGACCTTATGCAAAAGTTTAGTCCAGTCTAACAACACATCCATTTGCAATAAGCCCATTATATATGGTCATTGACACTCTGATATATTAAATTTTCAGGCAAGCTACCAGAGCAAGTTGGTGCTAAATGGCTCCTGATGATAACAGCAGGGAACTGTAATCCCTACCACAACTTCTTCCAACAGTCATTAAAACCCTTGACACACATTGTATAATTAATCTCCTTTTTTTTTTATTCTTCTTCTTCTTAGGTGACCTTGAACAGAAATTTGAACTGGAAATCAGTCCTCTTTGTAATCAACAGAAAGACTCCATCCCTAGTATACAAATTGGTGAGTTACACTGCATGTCAGCTTACAATTTGGCACCTTTTGAAAAGATACAAATGAAAGATACACATGCAGTTTTCCCAGATCGACACTGAAGGTCCAAATGGCTGAGGCCACACAAACACTTTCATCATAACTGAGCTACTACATTTTCAGTCTTGTTCTCTTAAAGCCATTCTCCCTTCCAAATGTCAATTGTAGTAAACTGTAAAAGAGTAGTATCATTGCATTCCAAATAACTATTCTTTTTATCTAATTGCAGTAGACATAAGACCATTAAGGAAATCAAATGGAAGAGATTTTTCCCTCCAGTAATTCCATCTGCACAAAAAGCCAACCTTTTTCCCTTGCTGTTCCCCTCCCCTGGAACTAAGCATGGATCTTTTCCTTATAACTCTGGATTTGCTGTGTAGCAGTTCATATTGCTATCTGACTGCACAGTCCTCAATCAGCTTCATGCATTCATATGGCGATAGACATCCAATACTTAATTCCTTAACACTGGGAGGAAAATAGGTATTAAAAGAGATCAGCTGAAAATGAAGAAAGTCAGAACAAATTAGAATGACATTCTAATCTATTCTAATCTAATTCTAACCATTGAGGGTAATTGTTCCACAAAAGAGTCTTCAAGTCATCTGCAAGAACCAGGCTGAATTAAGCACCCAGCTACAAAGATTTGAATGAATATTGACCTATTCAAATAGGCATGCTGGAGATTAAAGATGAGATTAAAGATAATCCATCTTTTTCAAAGTATCCTTTAATAATTTTTGGTTATTTTAACAATTAAACCATTCTTTTATCAAAAAAAAAAAAAAAAAACAATGAAAGGGATCTAAAAAGTAATTCCCAGGACAGAGGAGGACTCAGAATTATTGCAAGGTTGGGTGGAATCTAAGAGACAAGGAAAACCCAACAGAAATGCAGCCTCAGCCTCCAGGGGTTCACTTCTGTCCTGTGTATTAGTCGTCTAGTTCTACAGTTGTGTCTAATCTGGAGACTCACTGAGTTAAGCTCTGGCTGGGAAGAAATTTGCCAGACAACTGTTAATAATGTTTTGAACCACATGCACCCTAAACAAAAGTAGTTACACTGTTAACACTCTACCTAGATTTGCAAGACAGGCCTGATTTCATAGATTCTGTCCTGTTGTTGTCATGAGAACACACTGATTTTGTCAGATCATATGTCCTGATTTTCAGCTCAGGAAAATGTGGTTACCATAGATACCACTTTTAAAAATGGGATAGGGGAGGGGCTGAGTAACTAGGGATTCCAGAGGATGCTATACCAGCATACCCGTGCTGTGCTAAAGAGAATGAGAAGGTGATTATAAAACAATGCTCAGTTCATAAGTCCTTCTCTGCCTCTGTTCGACATCTGCCAGCCCAGGGTTGGGAGATGTGAAAAGCACACCTCAAGCTAAACTGGAAATAGCCAAATAGATAAACAATCTAATGGATGCCACAGGCTCCCTCACCCACCCACACAATGATTTCTCCACTGGGTCCCTACACAATGCAGCTATTTCCTCTGTCCTGACTCCTCTCTGACTGACAATGCCCCCTCTCATTTCTCCCACTGCAATCCAGAAGGAGAATTTCCTGAGTGCAGATATTGTTTGGCTTACATCTGATTTTCTATTTAAGTAATTTATCCAGGAGGACTTGGGACTTAATATCCTTTCCCTAGCCCCATTCAGTTCGCCTGTTTTCACTTCCCTTTGCATTTGAAAAAGATGTTAAATCAAATTAATCTTGAACTGGTGAAATCTACAGAAAAAAGAAGAGGAAAAGATTTTTCTGTAATCCCTGTTTATTCTGTGGCTACCACTTCTCCCTTCCCCCTCTGCAATCCCTCTGGGATGACAAAACTTTAGCAGTCAGTTCAGCCCTGGAGAAGACAAAGTTGGTACCACACACTGAGAAAACAGGGTCCCAGTTCCTCATGGGATCTATTCAGACTTTAAAATCACTTAACCTCCTAGCATAATAAGTCTTTATATCTAACAAGTATATATGTGCATGTATATATGCAAAGTGTATGTAAAATACCAGGCAATTTCAAGAACATGAGTTAATTATTTTAAATACCTGTAACTTTGTTATATTTGCATAAATTTGATACGCTTACAATATTAGGATAGTATCATTTTGTAGAACATATATTTATAGATTCATTCATGTGTGTGTGTGTGTGTGTGTGTGTGTGTGTGTGTGTGCTGGTCCTGGGGCTTGAACTCAGGGCCTACGCTCCATCTCTGAGCTTTTTCCCCCCCTCAGGGCTAGCACTGTACCACTTGAGCTTTCTTGGTAATTAATTGGAGATAAGAGTCTCACTGACTTTCCTGCCCTGGCTGACTTCAAACTGCAATCTTCAGATCTCAATCTCTTGAGTAGCTAAGATTACAGGCATGAACCACTGGTACCCACTACAGACTGTATTTTTTATCTCATCTAACCTTTTTCAAATAAACGATATGAGATGGTAAAAATTCAAAAGATGAAGAAAACTAAAAAATAGCAAGCAAAATGGGAAATCTTAATTTTCTGGCTCCTTTTATCCTAAGCCCATTGGCTCTTCTTTATTTCTGGGGTTCAGGTTATCTAAAATGATCTCACAATACTTAAATCGTATTTCATATATGACGAAATATGCAGAAGTACACAATAACATTTTCTATCGCTGCATCCTGTCCCATCTCTCCAGCATCCTCAAGGATTAGATGTTTGCCATTTGTCCGATAATAAACTCATCAAAGTAGATTTTATAATTACGTAAATGGTGAATAAGCTAAAAATTGTATTATGCTGAAAAATATTTAGGTTTTTTTTTCCTCCCCATACTTACATTTCAAGGAAATAAAATCTAAATAAGCCCCAGTTTGTGATATTTCCAATAATCACAACCTAGTCTGAAAGTTAGTATCTTTTTTTTTAAAGCAAATCATGATTAATTTGGAAAGCACATTAACAATAAAACAGGACTAGAAAACAATGAGTCATCAGTCATTCAACATGTCTGTAGTCCCAGCCCTTGAGAGACTGAGAGAAAAGGAACTGGACTTCGAGGCCAGCCCAGGGTTCCTAGACAGAACCTGTCTCAAAATGAAACAAACAAATGGGAGAAAATAGACAAACAGGGAAGTCTAATAGCAAAAAGATCAGTAATTTTGGGAGAAAAATCTGTTCTGTCAGTGGATGTTTATCTTAATTGTAATTGCTTAACAACATAATTGAAGACAAGACCAAACTGTGAGTCAATCGTCTTGAAAACACAGTTCTACAGGGGGCTGATGATGAATTCCGTGGAGTCCGGGCCGAGGACGCCTCCCACACTGGAGGCCCTTCCGCAGGCCCCGCTTAGGTCCAGCCCGCTCTTCCTCTGCACAGAATACGAGCAGTGTCCGTTGTCTCCTCTGTGCCCGGAGCTTTTCCGTGTTTTCCGCGTGCTGACTCATTCCATGGTCCTCACAACCCCCTGGGTTCTCAGCTCCTTTGCACAGATGAGGACACTGAGGCCCAAGACCAGTGAGTCGCGTCTCGAGCTCCTCGGCTCCTGGACGGTGGTTCCTCGGGTCACACCCCCGTGGGTGCCCACTCGTGAGGCGGAGGGGAAGCGGTGTTGGTCCCGTGGTGATGAGTGCCTTTGCCTGTTGCAGGGTTCATGACCTACATCGTGGAGCCGCTCTTCCGGGAATGGGCCCGCTTCACCGGACACAGCGCCCTGTCGGAGAACATGCTGGGCCACCTGGCCTACAACAAGGCCCAGTGGCACAGCCTGCAGTCCAAGCAGCACAGACGCCGGGGCAGCGCCGGCGGCCCGGACCACGCGAGCCCGGGGACTGAGAAGGCCGAGAAGGCCGAGCAGACGGCAGCAGCTGAAGGCCACACTCCGTAGGGCGGCGCCCCGCAGAACGATAGGAGCGGCCGGCCTGGAGCAAGGCCTCCTCCCCGAGGCCGGGCCGGCCCCACGGGGCGCCTCCCGCCAACCAGCGCAGCAGTCCTGGGGTTTGTCCCTGGGCTCTTTCGCAGGCCTCCCACCTGCCACTTCCCTGCCCCGTGTTCTTCTCCAAGTGTACAGAAGCCATGTGTCACCCCAGCATTCGCTGCCGGAATTGAGCGACTCCATTTGGTCATGTGGGAACCCAAACCTGCCCCCCCCCCCGGGGGTAGGCTGACCACCCCACCCCACCCCGGAAGATCAGGAGTGAGAAAGAGGTGCTTCTGCCTGTCCCCCCTTCCCCCGGCCCGCCCAGGCCCTGGGTGGCTCTGTGTGACTCAGGCCAGCAGCATCTGAATCCAGAGCATCTCCGTGTTCGCCATCCCCACCGCAGAGCTCACGAGAAACACACCAGCATCTTTGCAGCTCCAAGGACTTGGGTTTAAAGTGCAAGAGCACAAGTAAGAGCTTGGCAGAAAGTAAACTTCTATTTTAATAATAATAATGGCGATGATGGTGATGATGATGATGATGATACAAATAATAATAAATCTTTTTTTTAACTTTTCTATTTTATACACTACACAATGGATCTAAAACTTGGGACTACGATTACTCAAGTGTACCCAAATTTCAACGAGGGGGTTCGTTGTTCTGTTAATGACTTTATGCCACTTTGGGTCAGAGATCTGGTATCTTCTCTCAACTTCAGAAACCGTGTCTCTCATGCCATCCAGGGCAGGTGCTGTACAGTTCGTTTCTTTGCACCATTAACCAATCTGTCTTTTCTGGATTCAATGACCTGTTTATATTCACCCGTGTACATTTTCTGTAAATACCAAGCGCTACTGAGTCCCATGCCAAAATACGTTAGTATTATTATGGGATTGCTACCTGTATAAACAATGGCACTGTGAACAGAATACTGTTAGTTTTCATACCAGAATGCATTTGTAAATATGGTATAGAGTTTATTAATATACTATTGTTTTGCAGATAAAGGCCTTAACTTTAAACATCTTTCATCTTCTGAAAGCTGCCCAACTTAAATCCTCATAGATGTCTTTCTGACCTGCCTGCCCTCCCCCCCACCCCCACCCCCACCCCCTGACAAACTTTATGCTTTCCAGCTAAGGTCTGACACCAAAACTGAATACATTCTTGAAGGAAGCATTTTTGGAAACTTCTCCCGCATTCCGCTTGAGACCACAGTGTTTCATCTGTGGCGCTAAGCACTGTTTCCTCAGATGACCGTGACTTTTCAACAAGCCTGAAGTCACTTTTCAACGCAGCAATGTTGCACACGGTTGTAACAAGCCAACCGATAACCTTAAGTTGTTGATGTGACTCTTGTGACAGGATGTAGCAGTGCATCAACCTCAAAGGAGATGTAAGGAGTCTCAAAAACCATCTATGACCCTGTCACCCAAGCATCCGGGGATGACTCCCTGCTTTCGGGCCACTCATGTCTCTGCTATGGCTACCGTACCAAAGTACCTTGGTCCATCATGGCTGGCGTGCGTTCCTTTTAGTGTTAATAGAAATTGGATATTTCACTTTCCTTGGTTTCATGTGAACAACTACCTGACTGTTTGGCTGAAGTTAATGTTATTTAAGTAATGCAACTAGTTCGGTTTTATGACAGACTTTACCTTCCTGGCAGGTCATTGTGGCTGTAACCAGCAGAGTCACCCTGAAATTTTGTTGCTTTTTTTTTTTTCTGTAGACACTTGGCTGTAAGATCCAATTTGTTACTGCATTCTTCTTTGGTCTGCTAAACTCTGTGTGCTGAACCTTTTCTTTATAAATCTTAATAACTAATGTGAGATTGAAATTGTTGATGCCCCTTTCTCTTTACTGTAAGGTGATCATTGCTGCCAGGATCAAGCTGTTTCTCCAGCTCATGTGAATGACAGCTAGCTCTCATTTCTAAGCATAACTGGGTTTGGTTTTCCTTTTTTTTCTCCTAACAATCGAATGAATCATTAGACACTTGGCTGGCCTTTAATATATTCCTACGGAGAGACTGAGATTTGCAGAGTTAAGGTTTTGCAGGGAGAACTGGGCACTGGGTTGTATTTTTCCTTAAAATCAGTAGATTGTCCGATGGTAGTAAGGGAAGTGTGAAGGTCTTTTGAAATGGGAAGATGAAAAGGTGAAATTGATGATGGGGATAAGAAGAGAAGTTCTAGAAACTCAATACTAACTTTTATTTTCTGGAGTAAGTATGAACCAACACATGTTGCTTTATCACTGTAATATTCTGAAGCTCTGGAGCTTGGTAAGACCCAAAAGAAAACATGTCGGATGAATTCCTGCTTCTAAACCACTCTGATTTTGGGTCACTGAAAGAGAGGGCTTCTGAACAGTCTGTCTTTAATGTAAATGTCGGGGATAAGAAAGTTGAGATGCAAAAGGAGACTTTTTTGCCATTGAAGCTTCTATCTTGACTTTAGAAATTGGATTTTAATTATAACTATCTCCTAATTTAAATAAGTAAGATCAAGGGCATTCTTAGTCATTCGAAGTTTATAGGACACACGTGTTCATGTTACAATTAGATCTAGAAGAAGAGCTCACAGAGAAAACTTCCAGATATTCACCTGTAAAGCCTATGAACTAATAGTACAATACAAATCTGAAGTAAAATAAGACATGATATATCAACTAGATGCATCTGTCTCTTTCAATGATCTGGCAATTGCTGAGTTCTTCCTTTGTGGAAATGTCAGTTTTTTTTGCCTACCAGTGGCTTTACTGGTCCAAAAGATGGAGTCAATTTAGTAAATTGAGACATGATTATTAGACTGCCCATGGATTTTATGTGTAGTCATATTCTGCTACTCCATGGATCATCAATTTGTTGATTTACCTAGTTTAATTCTTCTAGTGTTTGTGAAGATAGGTCTCAAAGGGCTATTTTTAGTAAGCTAAAGTGAAGATCAGAGAGAGAGAGAAAGAGAAAGAGAATGAGCGAGAGAGAGAGAGAGAGAGAGAGAGAGAGAGAGAGAGAGAGAGAATGTACATCACTGCCAGGCCTGACTTGCAATAGCAGCAATGAATAGTCAGACCCAATTCACAGAACCTATCCATAGTTCCCTGCTAGACTAAGTAAAGACTATCCCTATTTTTCCCTGCTTTTATACCTTCTCCCAAAGGGCCTTGGAGCGCATCCTGCAACTCTGTCTTTAGATAGTGCTTCCGACAAAACACAGGCTTGTTTTGTAATCTTTCCTTGCATTGCATCGGATATGCTCACTGGTTTGGATTTGGTTATCAGCTTGTATTCCTTGGTATTCCTCATGCTTTGTTCTCTTTGGCAAATTCTTTCAGTTGTGTCATCTTGTGTACACATGTAAAGTTTGAGGAAAAAAAATTACACCTTGTGAGTTTTGCTCAAAATGTGGCCTAAATATCCATTGGCATGTTTAGATGAACAATTGAAAATAAAGAGAATTTCTTAAAAATATCACACCATGAAAATATTCTGACTCTCACTGGGGAGCATGCTACGAGCCAACCAAGTAGAATGTTCATGAGAAGAAACATTTCAAGGCAGAGCCCAGATGCAAACATGGCCCATCTACAGGCCGTAGAAGCACCCACTTCAATGAAGACATTACTCAACAATCACTACCTAGGCAGAGAAATGGGCCTCTCTCAGCTCTATATTTCTGCAACTTCCTGATATTTTTCTGACTCACACTTCTGAAATGCACACATGTATGAAAATAAGACACAATGTTTTAGGTTACGAAAATGTACCAGACTCAACGATTACGTTGAAAAACATAGTCACACATTTCGGGATTGGAGGTCATAAGGACAATGAAACAGGTCAGTCAGGACAACTGTGTATACTAAATCCATCTAAAACACAGGAAGAAAATATTACCACCTTTGTTTCCTAGAAACAGCCTTATACATTTTGTTCAATTCAATATATCAATTAATGAGCACAATGCATCTTGATCCATGTCACTCTTCCCATTGTCTCCCCCACCCCATCTCTCCAAGCCCACCAATCTCCTCAAGTTACTTGGCTCTATCTTTACACATACACATACTCTTCCTCTCTCCATATCCTTATAGTGTTTCGTCATCCTATCTCTATTGATTCTCCCATAGCTACTTGATTAACGTTTCTATTCAAATCCACTGATTCCTGAATGCTTCCCCAGGTTGGAGTGCAAGGCTACTTTGCACTTGTAGACATTGTAGATGATAATTAAGAGAGAGAACTAGGTGGTATTCTAAGCAAAGGTCAAAGGTGACCTTCAGAGAGACACAGAACCCTAGCTGAAACATTGTTAAGTAGGCAAAAGCTACATGATCGGTTAAATCTCAAGAAAACAAAAGCTGCTTGAAGACCCAACCACATGCCCAATGATGCACTATGCATTGAGATATCAAAAGACCTGGGCCCTCCAGGAGAAATTGGACCTAGGCCATTAACAGGAAACGCTTCTAAGGGTTTCACGAAGAGGGGGCTCAAATGCACCAAAGCTTCTTCCTGGAGCCCAAAATACTAGAAAGCAGATAAGCTTCAAAGAAAAAGTGAATCCCAACTATGCTTCTGTTGCTAATTTATTCTGTGACTTAAGGGAAGTTACAATATTTCCACACAGTAATAGCTTTCATAGTATTATTATGGTGATTAAAAAAGGCTTCATATTTTTAAAAAAGCACAAAGCTCTCTTGTTAATACACAATAGACTTTTCAATGCATAAAACTTCCCTCATCTCAAATTGCAAAAGGCTTGGCAAATAAGCACTCACACGTTAGTAAGAATGGGGAAGAGTCTAGTGGGAGGGTCGGGACACTAAAGAAGTTCTAGTCAAACTCATTACAAAGTTTTTGACAGATTGGTTAATTTATGTGCTTGTGAATTTGCAAGGCTGAGCACATAGGTGAGCCCTTCAACTTGTTGCTAGATACCAGCTTTATACCAACCACAGCCTATTTTTCTGTTTAGTCTCGTAGAGTCAAAGGTGAAAATGTTTCTGCACAAATGTTTCTGTGAAGAAAACAGCCCTGAAAAACAAAATGAGTGCCATTTATCTCCTTAATGTTTTTTTTTACCACCTAAGCCCAATTTTTGCTGGTGATAGCTCTGGTTCTCTAGAGCAGGCCTTGAGGTTTTGTCAGACTTTTACAGATAGGACACAAACAACAGCTTTCAGAGTGTACTGAGATCCAATCACTACACATACATAAACATGTTCTCAGCTACTCCTTGTTGTCT